AATTTATAGTAGAGCATTAATTATCTGAATACCAATCAACCAGAACATTGGTTAACCAAATGCATTCTATTTGGCAAATTCAAATTTGCATTAGTGTTGTGGCATTGCAGTATATTTTTTTTTTTTGTAAATGATCAGTTATTCGAACAACCCCAGTCCTGAATTGTTTTGGATAATCAATGCTCTACTGTACTTGAATTAATTTGATAATATTCAACCTATTATTTTCTTGTTTATGAAAAAGAATATTTATAAAGAATCTAGTTATGAAAAAGAATATTTTTGCCGAAGATGCAAAATGATTCTTTACAGTAGGTATTTTAACAGAAATATCAGGTGTGTATTTTATTGTTTTTTATAGAATCCCACTAGTGATAAAACAACTATATTGGTGCTCCATACACAAATACTGCTTTTGGCTTAAAGTACACCTGATCATTCTTACATGATGGATACTATGCACCTCATAATAACTAACTTAACAGTGAAATGTTTATACTTGGAACAAATGTTTTTAACTTGCCTATAGTCATCTTCAGATTACATTATAGAAAGTCACAAAAGATAATTTTAAAAATAGAAAAATGTTACAAATATTTGAGTAGAATGTTTGAAAAGAAATGGTTACAACTAATAAAGTAAACAAATATAAAAAAATATATAAGTACAAATAAAATTACTAACTACATTAAAAATGTTTACTTCTTTGTGGAATGATATAAAATTGTTAGATTCTTGTTTATATTAAAAAATTTTATTTACTTGGGAAGCAATGATAATATGTATGAATAATCCTTCTAATTAATCTTCATTGCCTAACAATGCTTAGCATCTATATCTAGTGATAAGCACTGGGTTTAGGCACTAAGCCTTGTTACATCATGTTATATTTTCACTTTATGGCTATTTTTTTTCCTCAAATTACTTTTATGTTTTTTTATCTTATTTAAATTTATTGGATTCAATATTAAGTTTTTTATTTGAATAATTATAATTTAAAAAATTATTATTCTATGTGATATGTTCATCAGTTTTATTTATTTATTTATTTATTATATATTTAATTTTTCATCAATTTGCCTGCTTTCTAAAAAAAAATTTAAATTTTAAATATAAACGTGTTAACATTTATTGAAGTATCGGGCTACCTAATACAGTATAATAATCAAATGCAAAATGTTTTCCTAAGTATCTATTCAATATTTTAAATTTGAAAATATAAGCCTATATTTCAAAGTATGATTTTGTGTACGATATTGGATTTTTTTAAAACAATTTTTCCAAAAAATATAAACATTATTCGCGATTTCAGCAATCGTACATTAATAAAATTGTGCTACTTCAAAATTAATATTGTTTTGCGCTTATATCACGCTTGTATGGAATCTAAACTTCGATATGGTATTTCCGTATGGGGTACAGCTTCTTCTTTTGTATTGAATAGGTTATACAAAATAACTTTATAAGAGCATTATATAAGTTACCTTATGATTTTTCTGTCACTTCTTTTTATAACCATATCAAAATTGATAAAATAAAAGCTTTATATAAAAAACAAGTTCTTCTAGAAAGTTTTAAACTAATAAAGGTGAGCAAGAAAGAATCTTATATAAGTGATGAATTAAATAAATACCTTAGGCCTTCTAACTACAACTATCGATGGAAAAATAATTTGATTCTACCAAAAGTTAAGCACTGTTTTGGACGAGATGCACCAATCTATCAACTTATATATAACTGGAATGCTTTAAAAGAAGAATACAAAGATTTGAGTACTTAAGGCCAATTTAAACGAGCTGTAAAAATATTGAGCTGCGATTAGTTGTGTGTATTTTTATTTTATTATTATTGTCTCTCTTTTCTCTGTTCTTTTTTTTTACCCTTGAGAAAGGCCAATGGTCATAGGGTCGTTTGGTTAAATAAATAAATAAAAGAAATGCATGCAATTGGTTTCGATTTGGTTATTCATATTGTATTGGTGAGTCATTCCCACATTAAAACGATATTGAAATGTAGAAATAAACGATAATTATATTTTTTCTGCATAAAATTGTCATATTTTGATTATGATACACAATAAGAATTTCCTGTCTTGTTTAAGTTGGTTGAGTCTTTTCATTTACGTAAATCTGTTGTCATGTGACTGTAATTCATTACCAATTTTTTTTTTATTTTTCAACGTAAATCTCGATATTTACAATTATGTTATTGGGAAGTACTGTACCGCGAATACAAAATAGGAATGCCTATGAGAAAATTGAGTTAGATTCCAGAGGGTCGCGCTAATGGAATTGAGTTAAAGCATGTTGCTGTCTAAGGAATATTTAAACTTTGCAGATGATTCAACATGCAAATGATAACAACTAATATTTATTTTATTCATATGTTTAATTATATTAAAAACATTAGTCTTACATTTTGAGATGATTGTGAAAGAGTTAGTTTGAAAAAATTGAGTTAATGTTGCTTGACGGACTTTTTTATTTGTGTCAATCAAGACTTCAGCGTACAGAAGACAGGTTGTTTTTAAAGCTCGCTTAAACTTGAGATTGCGTCAGGAATAGGGTCTGATTCTTGCAACTTCTTACATAAACTATCAATAGTGATATATATTTCTGAAAACTTGTAAGCTATCATTAGAATAGCAGCCTTAGAGGTTTTTTTCTGTTTATCATCTTCCTCTTCTCTGTCATGCAAATTTTCTATTATCATCATGTTCAGTTCCTCATATGTCGGTTCTACAGCAGTCAAGTACAATAGGTTTTCGATATTTTCTGTTTATATTCCTCAAACTCCTCACTGACTTTGCTTTGCCGTCTTTTACATTATTATATCGGTTTATTACTATAATTATATGAAATTATCTATTTACATAATTGTGACAAACTGTCATGTACGATTTGACAGAAAGCATTGTTGCTGTAATGCGACGATTTCAGTTTGGTAAGTAAAGTAGAGTAGTGTACTTTGATTGGTTATGTCAAAAAAATGTAAAAATTGGAGATAACTTCTACAAATTCTCAAAATTTCAATTTCGCCCGAACGATATGACGAATACTGACGTTAATATGACGTCACTTAATACCATGTTACTGATATACATTTATAACTACCGGATGTCCAAGGCAATAAAGATGTCAGCATACAAGGCTGATGAACCCGAAAACACCGGTCAGCAATTTCAGGAAATTACCGTCTGTCATCATCCAGAGTTCTCATTGTACACCTGATAAAAAGGCCCTCTTCGTTCTCTTAGAACAGAAAGAGTTTTAAAATACAATGCTGAAATTTTCCATTTCACGAAATGCTCGTATATCCTATAATAAATATTTGTTTCAGAATCTGCTTAGTTTATCTTCAAATGCTTCTTGAAATGCTAGCTTGGTTTCTGTAAATGTTGAACTAAGTATTGTTTCAGCATCTGTCTAATGAAACTAAGCATTTCATGTAATGTCTAATGGCTTATTAATTTTTAACGGGAGTGAAAAATCGACACCAACTAAACAAAATTTCCAAAATAAACGCACTAAAGAAAAATAAGTAATTAAGAACGATGCGAAATCAGGTTCTCTATCACAAATGCCTCCAACTTCTCTACGTTGTAACTTCTTTGAGTTATTTGATAAATACATATATACTGTACTGTATATACATTTTAATTCATAGACCACGAGTACATGTCAATTTTAGCAAAATAATTTTAGTAAATAACTAGTTTTTGTACACGTAATAACACAGCAAAAAATGTAGGCTATACTTTACAAGTGTCTCCTCGAAATTTTTTCTGGCTACGTTGTTTGATTATTCAACAACGAAAAATGAAAACAAATGCCATATGATAAATACACTATTCAAAAATTTCATTGCATATTTCAGTTGCAAACATAAAATAAATGATAAATCCACAAGTGAGCCATAAAAAGTAATGTTGGCAATAATGCAGCATAATTTTATTTTATAACTTTCGTAGTACTGTGCTTCGCTGTAAACACACTACAGAGATTAAGTGTCGAAAGTGCGATAGCTTAATGACTGAAAGTATTAAAATGTCAGCTTACAGCTCTGAAGGACCCGGAGTCTAATCCAGGCAAGCAACATCAGGAATATTTCATAGTTGATAAGTATGGATGGATGGGACTTTTTAAACAGCGTGGGAAACTTATGGTCCGGCGCCAGCATTTACCGATATGAATATAAAGGAACCAGTCTTACAGGCGCGGAGCCTCTGAAAATTTCCTGATTTTCCGATGGCCCCTTTCACCTTGGTTATAAGTCCCGAATATGTCAAGCTCGTTCCTTACCAACCAGCCGACCCCATTGTGGATCTGAACAAACTTACTATTTTATGGCAAAAAGATCCTTTTCATGCACACAAGGCTGAAAGAGCCAAAGATGAAAAGAAAAGAAAATTATGTAAAAATCGCCATCAAGGATAAGCCATTAGATATTACACAAAATGCTTAATTTCATTAGACAAATGCAGAAATAAACACTCGTTTCAACAGAGACCAGGCTAACAATTCACGAAGTGACCAGAAAAACTAAACAGATTCTGAAACAAATGCTTTTTTACAGGATGTGCTAGTGCTTCAAGAAATGGCAAATTTTAGCATGTGACTACGACATATACGTGTAATATATACAATTGAAGTATGTTCGCTTGTATCTTTAATTTCACTTCTCAATTTTGCAATTCGTGAATTAATTTTTATAATGGTAATAAACATTTTTTGAAATTAATCTGCAAATAATTTCAAACATTTCAATAATTTTGCAACGTATTGTTTCTTTTTTGGAATCTTTATGCTAAGCGGAGCGGTAACTTCTTATCGATACTTTTGCATTCTCGTGTCAAAGAAATTTTTGTTTATGAATTTCTATTAAGTAAAATTACCGAAAATGCACATTTAAAATTAGATCTATCACATATTTTTCACGTCAGGTTATAAAATATTTTAACAAACATATCAAAGATTCATTAATTTGGAATTATAACTTACAGTGTTAGGAATTACATTGAATTTGTTTGGATCTTTAGCTTCATCTTTGAGTTCCAACATGGCATTTTTAATCTCCTGGAGATAAGCTATGGCTTCTTCTCGATTTAACTGAAAAGTTGATAAATTAGTATAAAACTTTATTAAAATAAAAACAGTTGATATTTCAAAGAACCAACCACATTTTCTTTTAGTAACTCTTCAATAGCCAAAGTGACTCCTTCTTCATCTCCAGATTTTAGTATATACTCAGCTAAAGCTACCGGAGTAAAGCGAAGACTAGAAAACTTCAAAATAAATAATAAAAAGAGTGAGACAAATGAGTCCAAAAGTAAATAAGAACATTGAAACTGAATGATTACTTACTAATTTATAATCTTTAGGTGAATAATTCGGTTGTAAAATTGAATTTTTTTTCTGTTTTCTCCCTGACGCATCATGCTCCAGTTTTTCGTTTTCTGATTGTACGGCTGTGAAAAGAAAAAGTGAAATAAAGACAATCTTAAAAATTTCAGTATTAAAAAAGGCTTAAAGTTGTGCTAGTAAATTCATCGTAATGAAGTAATTTTCTTGTTTATAAGAACAAAAATATGAAAATCAGCTAGACGTTATTTATATTGAAATATAAGTTCAGAATTATCAACAGTTTTCAATTAATTACTTTTAATAGATACAATTTAATCAATTAATTTAATAGATACAATAAAATTTAACTTTTTGTCTGGTTTATTTCCGGTAATAATTTGTAACTGACTTTTTTCCTGTCTCTTCTTACGAATACTTTAACGCCTCGATTTTGTTAGGAATGCTTTTAGCACCTCGAGAAAAAATACCTTAGAAAAAGTCTTTGAAACTTTACAGCCATTTATATGACTATTTGTTAATAAAAAAAACAGATTCAAATCATATTTCATTTATTTAACTTTCGACAGTTTATTATAATATCTTTAAACTAAACAGTTATAGAATTATTAAATTAGTAGAAACACTTGACATAATGATCGTTTCGCAGATTGTTTCAAGGAGAAAGTACAGTATTTATATTCATTTAAACTTTCATATCAGTCTTATTTAAATGTATATTTATTCAATGTTTTTTTTTTCGATATCTGATGTAGGCTATATTAACTCTTAAACAATTCAGCTAAACAGGAATGCGGTATTTTTTTTATACATAGCAGGGTAAAAGTGATGTTAACGACCAACTAAGGTCGTTCAAAAGACCTTAACCTTCATTCTTATAACTGGTTGAGTATCCAACAAGAAATCTCTAACAAAACAAAATTTTTTACTTCGTACAATCTTCTTTCATAGTTTCAAAATGTTTGTCATTTATTTCATAAAGACTTAAGAATAACGTGTTAAGTACAGTATACAAAAACCTGATATTTATTTGATAATTATAGTAATTACAATGTTGATTATTGCAGACCCTAAAATACTAAAAATTATAATATTAAAATCATTATATTGTTTAGTATTCTAGACTAGTAAATACACTTACCATTACGGCGTCGAAGTTGATCTAGTTGTTGCTCTTCGTCTACTGTCTGAAAATATTGTGTTCTTAATACTTCGATCTAAACTTAAGTTTTTAATTAAGATTAAACTATTTCTATAAAAACTATAAAATTAAGCAAGTTTTTCAAATTATGCAAAAATATAGGTATACAAAATTAATTAATTTATTTATTAATTCTTTTGATGAAGAAATTAGAAAATTAAACTAATTAAACAAGTAAAGTGATTAGGCCTATATCTACAATATGAGATAGATTGTTTAGAAATGAATCACCCTAATTTACGACCGTGCTACGATCTGTTATTGTTGTAAATATAGCATTATCGTTTAGTTCATATTAATCATAGTTGTTACAGAGTGTTTAGTTAAAATAACTCTTTGATTTCGATAAAACTAGCATTTATATCATCCAAGTTAAAATGAAAAAACTATCTTATTCTTTACTTAAACTGAAAACGTTTTATACATAGTAAAATTTATTTCATACCAATAACATTTATATAATTTTGGTTTTATTTATCTCAGAAATTTCTATATAGTGAAGTTAAGAAAAAATATTTTAGTTCGAAAATATTTTAAAAGAATGGCGACTTTTAATACTAACGAAACTGTTTTATATTCTCATTGAATTAATAATTAATATTTAAGATTTCAATATTCCGAAAGCAACGTTCAAATATTTGTGTATTTATTACGTCATCAAGACGATAACAGCAGCGAGTCACTACTTAGTTTAAATTTTCTTTACTCGTTTGTATAAAAATACTTTACTGCATAAAAAGTTTCAAGTGATTATAACACAACATAACACAAAAGTAGAAAATGCAAATATTTTATTACAAATTCAATACAAACATTAATAAATTAAATTAATAAATATGGCACATCCAGACTTTTAGCTGTATTTACAATTGCTGACTTTTAATAAATAATTATAACAGTGAATTTAGGAAATTGGATCGGAGAATAAACTTTTACACGCGCACTTCGTATGATTAACGAAAGGGAGCAAAACAAGCCTCTCGCTGTAGTTGCCAGTTTTCAACAGCTCTCTGACCTTGAAAGGTAGAGTGACGTTCTCTGTCTTCGCCGCCGTGCAAATCTTCTTATCGCTGTGACAGCATCCAGTATCGTTCGAACACCTATGCAATATAGCACAATGAGGTTTATATATTTTGTCTGGTGACTGGCTAACCGGTATTAATTTAGCTACAGGTTTCGAACACTTTCCCTCTTTATTGACCAAACGATCATAATTTCTAGCCATGCGAGCCAGTTCTTTAATATCCACCTCAGTCATAGTTTCTGATTTTTCAAGTATTTTCACCTCCGGTCTAGCTTGAATTGCCAAAATCAAAACTGCAATCAATATAAGAGCTTGCGTGAAGGCAAACATTATGAGCAAAGTCTTGATAAAGTAGAACACAAACTTGGTCGAATGCTCCTTTCGATCTTCCTTCGCAGCACTCACAGTTATTATTTCGATGTTCGTCCGATCTTTCGAAACTTCATAAAACACTATACGATCCTCCACACCTGTTGATTTCTTATCGTCGGACAATTGTTCTTTTAGCTGACTGTTGGAAATCCGTACTGAATTGGAAGGTGGTGAGGATACTTTCATCTTATATAGCCATCTGCCCGGCGAATTATAACCGCAGAATTAATAACCATCCGCTGAAATACCCTAAGGGTGGGAAACCCGGCACGATTACTCAACGAAAGCCACACCTACCTCTTCTGATTGGTCGCTCTAAAAGAATGATGTAATCCGTACGCTACACAACGCGAAGTGGCGCTGAAAAATTTTGGCTTGGAATTATTGGATGACGTATAGAGTGACGTGTCAGGAGACGGAAGCGTAGTTTTTGTTTCGGTTTCATTCTTTTTCAAATTTACGTAAAAAATTTCAAATTCGTTCCGAATAAGGAAAAAGACTTTATCATCGCGGTCAATTGATTAGTAATAAAAATTTAATTAAAAGAAAAAAAAAATACGCTCGACTGATATCGCAAGACGGAAATTGAAAATAATACGAAGACCTTGTTCAGCTGTTATCATCCCAGAATAGAAGTGGCGGCGTATAAAATATAACTATTATAGCCAGTTATTACACGAATATTTATTATTATTATTTAGCAAAAATGAACAAGAATATGTGATTACATGAATTTTTGCTGAAAATTATTTTATTCGAATAAAAAAGAAATTATATAGAAAGTCAAACTACGCTAAACAGATCGCTGTTTACCAATCGATACAGCAAAATTTATTTAGCCTAAAGTTAATTTTAGTAATATTAACTACTGCTCTACTCTGCTAACTACACATACTAACTAAATAATTCAACGTAACCTTTTGTAATATGTATATAGCCTATATATATATATATATAATCTTATACATATATAAAATCTTTTTATTATATATATACAATAAAAAGATTTTATAGACTTGATATTTGAAACTTGAAATAATGCTTAATAAGCATATTTCATACGAATTCAAGATGATATCAACATAAGTCCATATTAAATTAAATGTTAATGATTAGTCTAATACTCATCGAAACCACTAAATGACATGTGGAAGGCATAATAGTAATCCTAATTGAATTTCCGGAAATCTAAAAAAAGTAATGTTAGATTTCTGTATATAATGTCCTTTTAATCCGAAGAATTTTTCTTGGTAGAACGATCTCACAGCTTTTTGGTCAGAAAATTACGGTTTTATTTTTGAAAAAATTTGAACTTCAAATGCACTTCGAGTTGGTTTAAGTTTCCAACCCCTTTTCAGTGATATCATATAAGAGTATATATTAAAAAGTCTATTTCTATATTTTTATCTTCCATAGGTATATAGCCTATAACAATTCAACTTTTCACAGTAATTATGTATTATATTTCCATTTTTTTCATTTAAAGTGGATGGGTATCAGTTCATCCAAAAAGAGTAAAAACATACCGACAAAAGATGTTAACCAGTATTAATCCAATTTATTCCAAATCAATTTTCGGATTAAAAGGACGTTATACATAGAAATTGAATAAACAGCAACCATACTATATTAATGTTAGATTCGTTTAGAGTGATTAATATTATTAAAAAATTACTAAATATATAAATTTAACTTATGCCATTTTAAAAATCGATCACTTAAATTCGCTAACATTGATTAATAACATTTTAATATTTCATCTATACGTTTTTTAATCAATAATATGGCAGTAGTAAATATGGTTTATAATTAATCAGAAAAATACATCACAAAATACAGTGTTTATCTTACACTTAAATATAATTTATCAGTCATACTTATGTTGCTATTTATTAATCTTTATTAATATTAATACAATAAAACTAATTACTAACACTATATAAAGACATAATTATATCTATAAAATGCATTTATTTATCCGATTAAATTTTAAATAAAATTTAAAATTTAATCGGATGAATAATAATTTTGAATAATGAATAATTTGATATAAATAAATAATGTGACAAATTTTAATAATAATAATTATTATTATTT